AGTTTCTTAAAGGGCTTCAAACATTTTCAACCAGGATTGACTTATTATTCAATGAATACGAAACTGCAAATATTTCCAACAGATCATTGTCAGATTTAATGAAAAGGACTGAATAACAGGTTAAACAAAGGTAAAATTTATAGAGTTGATCAAGGACAGTGAATTAACCACATCTAGGATAGTCAGAGACCCTTAAAGAGCATAGAGCTCAGGTACAGAGAGAACTCTGTAGAACAGGAGAGTCACCAGAAGGAGAGGAATGAAGACCTTCTCGATCAGAGCTCTAGGCTAATGACAGTGAAACCCTCAGGTTTCTCCTTCCTTGCCTAATGCCAGGAGAGACTGACAATATTTTTTCATCTTAAATTTTCTTTTAACCTGCAGGTTCTTCAGTTTCCTTAAAATATCAATAGATGAACTCTGCCCTGGATGGGGTCACAGGATCTAAGAATCAGAAAGCAGTAAGAGGATGGGTGTATATGGAAATTTTTTTGAAAATCTTAAGCAAACATCTGTGGGAGCTGGGTAGAAAGAAGCCAAGAATTGCCACAACAATTCAGTACTGTTTAGTAATATCGGGTACCCCTGTCCTGTAAGAGACCTCCACAGCAGCTGTGCATTACTTTAGCCTCCCCTATCCAGAGAAGTTCTTTGCTCTAGAAAACTTTCATTACTCACTGCTGTCCTTGAGTCCAACCTATTTATTCCTCAGGACACAGACAGGGATACAGAACTTCCCCACACTGACACTCTGTGAGCACTGATAGCCAGGGGTGCTGTGACTCCAATGAGAACATTCACTGATGAGGCTTTAGTGGCTCCCGTGCAGTTTCGGAAGCTGCTGCTGCTGCTGCTACAGCATTGGGATCTGCAGAGTAAGACTGAGAAGCATCCCGAGACACAGAACACACAGGGAAGCTGGGTTTCTGGTCATTGTGTGCCCTGCTTTCTCTCATACCTTACTTTTCATCTTATTTAAGATGTGCTTAAAATAAATCACAGTGTAGAAAAATCCACAGGGACCAGGAAGTCTCATAACTCCTAGGAGACTCAGGAGCAAATATAGAGAGATCTGAAGTGAAAGTTAGAACACTGACTCTTTGCAGTTTCCCTGGCTCATGGATCAGCTTCCTAGGTTTTTAATTTGTTATTTTGTTTGGGGGGTTTGGTAACTGGTGTGGTTGGTTTTGGTGCCATACCTGGCAACACTTAGGGCTTATTTCTGGCTCTACACTAAGGACTCACTCCTGGAAGCTCTGGGAAACCGTAAAAGATGCCAAGGTTCAAACTGGGTCGGCCGGTTGTAAGGCAAACACCCTATAAGCTGCACTATGGCTCCAGCCCCATCACTTGGTTTTATTGATTGCTGGGGAGTAAAGGCGTTGCTCCTATGGAGTGCTCACCTAGTCAGAAGAAGGTGAACTTAAACATGTGGCAAACAGGACTTTGAACTGCACAGCAGTTTCACTTGAGAATTTAATCCTGTTCGAGTGAACGTCCTTGTGGTGTCCACGGTAAATAGAAGCTACTGAGAACACTGACAACAAAAATGTGAGTTTTGGGGAGCAAAAGTGATAGGAGCAATGTTTGCTCAGTGACCTAATGCTAGGGTGTGTGTGTGTGTGTGTGTGTGTGTGTGTGTGTGAATGAGTATGTGTTTGTGTGTGTGGTTGAGGGGGGAGAGAAAGACAGACAAAGGCAGACAGAGACAGAAATATAGACCCACTAGACTGCATGATTCACTCTAAGTCCTTCTTGGCATCCCTCCATCTAACACCAAAAAAGGCACAGCCTCTTACCTTGATAGTTGTCTGGGATGTGAACATATTTTTGAAAATAATTTTTGAAATAAACAATCTACATTATCACTTCCCCACCCCTACACTGTAATCTAGCATTTTAGGAAAGCTGCTTTTGATGCTATTGTGTGGATAGATATGTTAAGAGAAACTTAGAGTCTGTATATAATTGTCATTGTCTACCCTTAAATTATCCATAAAAAGAAGACCTTCACTGATATACCAAGAGTAACACCCACATTGGTGCGTATAATTAGAAGGAAAACAATCTAGATTAAAAAATATATATTATTTATATTATATATATAAGCACACAAGACTCAAACTCTATCAACATTTAAATTTTTCATTTTATAAAATAGTTCACAATATTTTATCACATTTAATATTCAACCACCAATTCCAGTACCATAAACCTTCCCACCACCCTATTTTGCAAGTTTCCATCTGGAACCCCAAACCCTGTTCCAAAGCAGAACAGAAATAACATACTATATCCCTCTAAGTTTGTTTGCCTTCTGCTTTGAATCCCATCAGAGGTGGTGTGGTAATCCTGGAGTATGGTTAAGGTGTTTCCTATGGAGTGTCACATGGCTGCAAATGCTGTCTCGAGGTCCAAAAAGAGTTACACTCATGAGTGACATTTGACCTGAGCATCTACCAACAATTCAATGATCTCTAATTCAGGGGCTTAATGGCTCCAAGATGAGATACAAAAATTTTTAAAAACAACTTTTTTACAAGGAAACATTTTGTGTAATTTTTAGTTAATTATTCATTATACACTCAGGACCTTCAGATTATGAGACTGACGCGCTGCCTACTGCGGGCTGGAGCGATAGCACAGCGGTAGGGCGTTCGCCTTACAAGCGGCCAACATGGCCGACCCGAGTTCGATTCCTCCGCCCCTCTCGGAGAGCCCGGCAAGCTACCGAGAGTATTCGATATGCCAGACACAGTAACAACAAAGTCTCCAATGGAGACGTTACTGGGCCCGCTCGAGCAAATCGACGATCAACGGGAGGGCCTTTACCTTTACCTTTACCTATTCATTATACGGGCTGGAGCGATAGCACAGCAGTAGGGCGTTTGCCTTGCATGCAGCCAACATGGCCGACCCGAGTTCGATTCCTTCACCCCTCTCAGAGAGCCCGGCAAGCTACCGAGAGTATCTTGCCTGCATGGCAGAGCCTGGCAAGCTACCCGTGATGTATTCGATATGCCAAACACAGTAACAACAAAGTCTCCAATGGAGACGTTACTGGGCCTGCTCGAGCAAATCGATGAACAACGAGAGGACAGTGACAGTGACAGTGATTCATAATAGACAATACAAAATAAACTATCATTTGTCTTTGGGGCAGACATTGGTTTTGGTGGCAAAACTCAAAATAAAGATGGTGGGAAAGTGTAATGGTGGTGGGATTGATGTTGAAATATTGAATGTAATCAATTACTATGAACAACTCTTTGAAAATTGAAAAAAACGATTAAGGACTTCTTTCTCTAGGGCACTGTAGCACTGTAACAACATCCTCCCATTGTTTGTCGATTTGCTTCAGTGGGCCCAGTAAAGTCTCCATTGTGAGACTTCTTTTTACTTTTTTTGGCATATCAAATATGTCACGGGTAACTTGCCAGGCTTTGCCTTAAGGGTGAGACACTCTCGGTAGCTTTCCGGGCTTTCCAAGAGGGCAGAGGATCTGAACCCGGGTTGGGCGGGCCGGCCACTGCAAGGCAAATGCCCTACCACTGTGCTGTTGCTCCAGCCCTGTGCCCTTTCTAGGACATGTCATATATTATTATTTGAGTTTTCACTTCTCTAATAATAAATATGTTGATATTTTCACATGTACAGGGGATTGTGTTTGAGAAGTATTTATGCAGATATTTTGCCCATTTTCAAAAACTGTTTAGTCTTATGTCTTTGAGAAGCATTTATACAGATATTTTGCTCATTTTTTAAACCTCTTTAGTGAAGTGGTACATTACATTTATGATTTAGGTATATCAAACATCCTTGTCTCAGAGATGAGACCGACTTGGTAATAATAATGACTTTCTTGACACATGGTTAGAGGATGTTATCAAGATATTATTGTTTGGTTTAGCATGAAATAATTTAATTTAAGGGAAAAGAAGGGATAGCATGTTTAGAAGAGACTGTGAGCTTCTCCAGAAGATAAAGACCTCTGAATGACTTTGGGAAGGGGTCATCTGTGGATATTCTCCACAATGACTTGCTTGAAGTTCTATGCCCAAGGAAGCATTGTCAGATTTGTCATAAGGGAAGAATTTTGAACCTCTGGTGGTTTCATTACATTGGTATTGCATTTTTGGTCATGATTTTTGGCTTTGGACTATGGCATATTTCTGGCTCTAAAATCAGGGTTCACTCCCAGAGGGGCAGTCTTCTTTCATCCATTTTATTCATAACTGGTCAAGGCATTTGATTATGAGCTCTTCTTAGGGAGTCTTGCATTGCAGATTAATTTTTCCTGAGTCTTCAGAAGCTCTGACCTAGGACATACCCTTCTTTTCCCCTTAGATTAATTATCCTTCCCTCAGATCAGGGGGGATAATAGAATGAACCTATAAGGTAGCTATTATATTACATTGTCACCCTAGAAGGATCTCCCTGACTTCATTGAATTGATGTTATTGTTCTTTGGAGGTGGGGTAAATTTAATACAGAGAGAGATTTTCATTAGTCAAATATGAATCCATTGAATCTTCTTCACTTTTGGCCCTAATTCCTAAGTGTTGCTTCTTAGTTACAAGAAATTAACTGGAAACAAAGTGTTTGTGATGGTTAAGTCATTGGTAAATTATTTTAAAAACTTCCTAATATACTGTCTGTTTATTTGTAATTAGCGTGAGTTATAACATCTGCCTTCTCGCTCTCAGATTTGATCCAGGAAAAATTTCTGTAGTTATGGTCTGTTCTCTTTCTGAACTCCCAGTTAGACCAGCACTGACAGTAAATAACAAATGAAATGAATGCCATTAAAATGAGACACTAAATTTAAATATTTAAAATTTAATCTAATCTAAAACACTTGTGATAGTATGTACTACTGTATTCCACACCCAATTCATGCTCTGAAAGTGTCAGTTTCATAAGGCTCAGGCTCAGGACTTTCCATCACTTAGAGAAAAATCCCATCTGCTTGATCTCTACCTTTATTTTCAATATTAAAGATTTCCAGGAAAAAACATGGCCTCAGGCAGAGCTAAGAAAATGAAAGAGGAAGCCACCTGCCCCATCTGCCTGGATTTGATGACTGAGCCAGTGATCATAGACTGTGGACACATCTACTGCCATTCTTGCATATTAGAAAATGTTGAGAAACAGCAACAGAAGTCACCATCACTGGGAATCTTTGAGTGTCCTGTATGTCGGGCACAGTTTCAGAGAGAGAGTATCCGTCCCAGTAAGCAGCTAGGAAACCTCATTGATACAATTAAGATGATGGAGCATGAACTTTTGTGTGAAGAACATGGAGAGAAACTCTTCCTGTTCTGTAAAGATGATGGTCAGCTCCTCTGCTGGTGCTGTGAGCGGTCAGCACACCACAAAGGGCACACCACAGTCCTTGCTGAAGAGGCCTGTCAAGGATACAAGGTGAGTAGTGCCCAGATTGCATCACCAGAACCCATTCCTCTTTTGCATCATAGATTAGAAATAATTTAGTCTAATAATTCTGTGGGGTTTTTTTTGAAACGCTATGAGATACACACTTTCAAAATTCTTCATGATTGGGTTTCAGCCATACAATGTTTCAAACGTCATCACTTTTGTTTGTGTACATTTCCTGCCACGAATTCACCTGCTTCCCTCTTACTGCCTTTCTACCCTTCCACCCCATCCATAGTTTGCCTCTATGGCAGATATTCTTCTCTCAGGAAATGAATTATTCTCTTCATCCAAGTCCCTCAGTATGTATCCTTGAAAGTTTAAGGACTATACAATTTTTAAACTCTGTGATCTCCCCTGATTATATATATATATATATATATGATTATATATATACATTTTGCTTGAGCGGGCCCAGTAACGTCTCCATTGGAGACTTTGTTGTTACTGTGTCTGGCATATTGAATACTCTCGGTAGCTTGCCAGGCTCTCCGAGAGGGGCGGAGGAATCGAACTCGGGTCGGCCATGTTGGCTGCGTGCAAGGCAGACGCCCTACCCGCTGTGCTATCGCATACATTTTAATAAACTTAAAACAAACAATTTTTCCTTCAGGAAACATTCGGGGAAATTTTGACAAACCTGAGGGAGCAAGAAGTTAAAAACAAGGAATGGCAACAGAAAATCAGAGAAAAAATTACAAAAGTTAAGGTAAGAATTTGAGTTCATTGACCTCAAATATGTTAGCTCTAAAGATTAGACATATAAATGGATTAGACAAAACAAAAGGATGTTTTAATCTCATTCATATACACAAAATAGATAAACTCCAAATTATACCTTTTAATACTCCTAGTTGGTCACAGCTATGAGAATTGAACTCCTCTTTATTGACCTTTCCACAGTAATAGTTGAGGGGTCTAAATATCAGTTAGGAAAAGCAGAATTAGTTGTCTCCTTCCTTAAACTCAACTTCACAGGTTTACAAGCCTTAAATAGCTCAAAGTACTTTCCTTCTTGAGGTGTAGACCTCCCACTCAGAATTCACAACAATGCAGTGTCTGGACTGTCAATTTCCATGATCAGAAAATAATCATAATGAGGAACAGGATGTCTGCAAGTGGAATTCATATTTGAAAAATTCCTGAAGATGAGCAGAAAATGGTGAACAACATCTAAAGTTGCAAACTTAGGTACATTTCTGCACCGACCAGAGTGCTCATAATAGAAGCTCTGAGCTTTTCTGGTAACATTGATTTAATCCAAAAGTCTAGACTCAAATTTAGTAGGTCAGTGGGCTTTTAGAGGTGTCTTTTCAAATCTCTGCCCTCGTCTGTTTGTGTGGATGTTGAATTTTTTCTGACAGACAGTATTTCTTCTTCCCTCAATTTAACAGTCATGGGTAGTGTACAAGAAAAAACTCCAACTAACATGTAAAGAAACCCCAATCTGGAAAGAGATGAACTTTCTCTCTCCTATAATTTCTATTCGATTCTACATGAAGGAAACTGCTACATTTTGATTGTTTATTCTTCTAAAAATAAACATTCCCCTGTGTTTGAAATACACTTTCTTCATTTTAGTCTGAAACTCTGGATGAAGAAAGTTCTATAGAGTATGACTTTAAGATATTGCAGATGATACTATACATGGAGGAGAAATCTTATCTACGGAGACTGGAGAATAGAAAAGAGGAATTTCTGAAGAATCTGCAGGACAGTGAAGCCAAGCTGGAGAAGCAAAGCCAGGAACTGAACAAACACATCCTGGAACTGGAGAGGAAATGTCAGGGCTCAGCCCAGCAGTTACTACAGGTGAGACTGTGCACAAGGAGGAATGGATGAAGGTGTCAGTTCCTGGGCTTTCAGAGGAAATGGTGAAGAATTTGGAGAAACGGCCTGAAGCTTTCTTTCTCAAAAATGCAGACAGGGCCGGAGCTAGAGTACAGCAGCTATGGCGTTTGCCTTGCACGCTGCCGACCCGAGTTCAATCCCAGGTATCCCATAGGCTCCCTTGGGCACCTCCAGGAGTAATTCCCTAGTGCATAGCCAGGAGTAACCCATGAACATCACTGGGTATGACCAAAAAGGAAAAAAAAAATACACACAAGGTTGGAGAACTTCAATGAATGTTTACTTTTAGATGCACATGCCTATATACAAGTATCCTTCGCTAATCTATAGTTTCTTACTGTAAATCACAAAAGAGGCCCCTTGGGTAGATAGGACATTCCTTGGGGAACTTCAGGAGAACTTTGGCAGGCATCTGCTAGCCCCCATGTAATTTGCAGAGATTTCTGGTGTCAAACGTCCTGTCCACTTTTGGGAGGCTGGAACCAGTCACCAAAATGATTGATAAATTTTCCTCTTGATTTGTTCCCGGACTTTGCTCAAATAGATACTATGAGGTCTATGGCCATACCACCCTGAACGCGATTTTAACTATAGTAAGGATACTGCACACTGTGATAAATTCCTGGAGCTTCTTATTCTGGTTTCACAAAGGATGAAGGTGGCACAGCAAGATCTTCCATCTCAGTGGAAACCCGCTGCCCCCACCTATGTGAGTCAGTTCTCCAGGGCTCTATGTGAATTTATCTGTTAGGACCTTTGTGACCTCTTAAGAAGAAATGAGGTCACTGACTGCAAAATGTGCTTAGTGAGCAAGTTTGAGACAATTCCTGATCTTCCTCCAAACAGCTCACAGGCCATGTGGTTGTAGACATATTAACTCCCCATGTTTCCAAAGAAAGAAAACATTCTCTGTGGTTGGTCAGATACGTTCATGGTATTATACTGGGCCAGTGTTTCTCTCAAACTTTGTGCATGCACTGGTGAAGGTAAACAAGGGTAGAGAGGTTAAATATCAATGGTCTATCACAGTGCTTAAAACTGCTATTCTGGAATGATATGCAGACAGGTGTTGGACCACAGGTGAAATGGCTGAACAATGCTGTACTAGTAACTGGGATCAGATTCATACCCTGGGAATTCATTAATACATAGGAGTGGAACAATTGAACTTACTAGTGACATAATTATCGAGAAATATTCACCCATCCAAGTTTTATATAATGCTAATATTTCCATAGCAACTTCTATCTTTTTTTCTCTATAGGATGTGACAGACACTTTGGAGAGGTGAGTGCTCTTTGAATTCAGGAGGGCAGGAGAGTAGCTCTATGGAGTCCAATGGGATATTGCTCTGATGAATTTTCTCGACTTTTCTCTAGGATTTCTGCTCTGAAGTTAAATGCACAAGAGGGTATCTCATTGGATATTTATCCTGGGACTAAATATAGAAGCCATTTCCATACATTCATAAAAATGTTCGAGATTGCTTATGGTATGTGATATCCAAAATTCCCTAAATAATACAGGTGGGAGGAATAATGAGCAACACATTTTATTGCTCTTCCCTGGGAAGAATCTAGGTATTGTTTTACTTGATGACTCTTGAGCTCTTTCTCTCCTGTTAACTAGTGATGACTCCCAGGTAAATAACCTTTATATCTGTCCCATATGAAAAAAACCAAAATAATAACACTTCACACTCATGTACTGTGACAAATTTTTAAAAAATTATTAATTACACAAAACATAGAGAAAAGCATTTGGGATATTAATGATTATGTTGATGTCCTTCAATTCCCAGAGTAATTGTAGAAAGGTAGGTGAAGAGTGATTGTGCTGTCAGAGGTTTTAGGACTAGACCAGGTAACACAATAAGTGTTTGAAGCATTTGAAAACCAAGTGCCACTTAGTCAAAACGTGCTGTTTGTTTTTTCATTCTTTCCATAGTAACCTACAATTATAATTTCTTAAAAGATTCTGAAAACAAAGATATTTTTATCATTTGTTGGGCTATAAAATAGCAACCACTATGGGAAGTTTTATTTTTAATTTAATGAAAGTCTAACATTTACAAATTATGCAGTGGCAGTCCTGAGCATATTATCACAAGTTGAGTGTTTGCCTTGTATTCAGCCAACCTGGTGTTGATCCCTGGCATCTTATATGGTTCCTGAGTTCTGCCAGAATTGGTCACTAAGTGCAGAGTTAGGAGTAAGTCCTGAGCACAGCCAAGTGTGACATCAACCCCCTCTCCCTACCCCCTGCCCCAAATAAGAAGAACACAATGCTTCACATATTTCAGTAAAATACCCACTTGGGAATCCTTGAACCTGAGTCTAATAAAGCTTCAAAAAACATGATTTCTTGGCTGTGCTCTCATCTGGAAACTAACACCATCCACTTCCAAACACATTGTGACTGTAAGCAGAATTCACATCTTGATACATGTAGGACCTCAGACACTAGCTTTTTGCTGGTTGCAGTCTGGAAGCCTCCTTGTGTTTCCTAAAGAAAACTCTCAAATGCTTGTGTATAAGTCTCCCTACATGGCCAGTTGTTTCTTCAAAAGGAGATCATGAAGCAAGAATCTCTAGAGGGCACACCTGATGGCATTATTAATACCGCCATAATAAACAATTATAATAGACATGAAACCCTTAGCTAGTGCATTCAGGTATTACTCCTGGCAGCGCTAGGGGACCATATGGGATGCTGGAAATCGAACCCGGGTTGACTGAGTGCAAGGCAAATGCCCTACCCGCTGTGCTATCGCTGCAGTCCCAAAACCCATTATTTTTGCTGTATAAATTCACTGTAACTTGTACATGCTAAGTTTCTGGTCCTGAAAATTGTTCTACAAAGTTGCCAACAGAGGGACATTATTACAGTCATTGCTGGTCTGACAGACTCAGTGACCTAAACGGAATTACTCTGTGGACAGTATTTTGTCTTTATTTATTCCACTTGGTTTAGTTGTAGGAGCGCTGATGAGATGGGCACTGACTTAGCACTGTGTGTGTCCACATGCTTAGAGTATAGAGACATTGCTTTGCATTTAAGAGAAGAAAAATGTTCTGAATTTAAAGACATGTTTCACACACGAAAATTTCATATTTCTGTACTCTAAGAGCATTATGCAATAACTGGGGTGAGGATGTAAGCAATTGCTATTTAAGTGAGGGAAAAGCTCTCATAATTCAGAACTCTTGACTTACAAAGTGAGTTGAATCCTGTTAAGGGTATCTCTGCAAATACTGTTTTTCTACATTACTCTAATCAGTGTTCAACCAGATCTGTTGATGACAATATTGCACCCTTTCTCTAACTGAGATAAAACCATTACAGTATTTTCATTGTATATTAACTTTTTTAATATTTAATTTTCTTTTCTAAAAATATTTAGCTTTTTCACTTCCAGCTGTGAGCTCAGGGATCACTCCCAGAGGAGTTCAGGAAACCTTTTGAGATACCAGGGATTAAACCCAGGTCAGCCACCTGCAAACACCCTACCCACTGTACTATCATTTCAGCTCCGTTGTTTATAAATACATATATAATATTACATATATATGTATATTGGGCTGAAGTGATAGCACAGTGGGTAGGGCGTTTGCCTTGCATGTAGCCGACCTGGCCGAACCGGCCGATCAAGGTTTGATTCCTTTGCCCCTCTCAGAGAGCCCGGCAAGCTACCAAGAGTATCTCGCTCTCACACCAAAGCCTAGCAAGCTACCCATGATGTATTCAATATGCCCAACACAGTAACAAGTGTCACAATGGAGATGATACTGGGTCCCGCTTGAGCAAATTGATGAACAAAGGGAGAACAGTGACAGTGACAGTTATAATATATATATATAAGTAATATATTTGATGTACTACAATTATCATGCATACATATTTGTTCTGTGAATTTTACTTATTTTTAAGATTCTATGTTACTCATTGTCATTTTGAATCCTGTCAATTATAGGATTGCAAGCATACAACATTTCAGCACACACCTCACCAAAATATCCATTTCCTCATCCATCCCCTGCTTTACAAAGGTACTGTCCTCAAACCCCACCTATCCATATTCCCACCATGGTAAGCATGGTTTACAGATTCTGTTGTTTGTGCCCATTTGATAGTATTCCCTTAAAAAGTTTCTTTTTTATTCCATATATGAAAGGAATTATTCTGTGTCCTTCTTGCACCTTCTGGCTGTCTTCAGTCTATGAAAGTAAAGTAAGTAAAGTAAAGGCCCTCCCGTTGATCATCGATTTGCTCGAGTGGGCCCAGTAACGTCTCCATTGGAGACTTTGTTGTTACTGTCTTTGGCATATTGAATATGTCACGGGGAGCTTGCCAGGCTCTGCTGTGCGGGCGAGATACTCTCGGTAGCTTGCCGTGCTCTCCGAGAGGGGCGGAGGAATCGAACTTGGGTCAGCCATGTCGGCTGCGTGTAAGGCAAACGCACTACCGCTGTGCTATTGCTCCAGTCTATGAAAACGCACAATTAAATATTATAGCTGAGTATAATTCACTTGTTGATATATACAATGCTTTTTCAGACATCTGATCTTGGAAATGGGTTGCTGACAGATGTTCACTACTGAAACATACTGTTCAGTGCTGTGATGAACATAAAAGTGCAAATATATTTTTCAATAGAAATTTTTGTCTTTGGCATAGATGCCCAGAAATGTAAAGGCTTTTTAATTTGGAAGTCAATTCTTATTTTTTGATATTTCTCCATTTTCTAAAAAGGTTGAACCAAGCATACTGCCCAGCCACAATGATTGAAGCTTCCTTTTCCAACATCTGCCCAATAATGGTGTATTTTTCTAACTGGTATGAGATGATATCTCATTACAATTTTGATATGAATTTTCCTGCTAGTAAATTTTGGATATCCTTATTGATCATCTGCATGTCTTCTTTGACAACGAATCTGTACGTCTATTCCCCCCCCCCCTTTTAGGTTTTCTTTTCATTGCCAAATTTTAATGGATTTTCCAGTAGGGCTTTTGCCTTGCGTGCAGCCATTCTGGCGAGCCGGGTTTGATTCCTCCACCACTCTCAGAGAGCCTGGCAAGCTTCCAAGAGTATCTCGTCCACACAGCGAAGCCTGGCAAGCTACTTGTGACGTATTCAATATGCCAAACACAGTAACAAGTCTCAAAATGGAGACGTTACTGGGCCCGCTTGAGCAAATCGATGAACAACTGGAGAACAGTGTTTGTTTTCAAATAAGGTCTTTTTTTTTTTTTAACTATTCACGGTCACAGTCACAGTCTTCCTGTTATTCATCAATTTGCTCGTAGGTCCCAGTAACATCTCCATCCTGAGACTTGTTGTTACTGTGTTTGGCATATTGAATATGTCACAGGGAGCTTGCCAGGCTTTGCCCTGTGGGCGAGGTACTCTTGGTAGCTTGCCGGGCTTTCCGAGAGGGGTGGAGGAATCGAACTTGGGTTGGCCATATTGGCCGCGTGCAAGGCAAACGCCTTACCCACTGTGCTATCTCTCCAGCCATTTAGCTATTCAAAATATATAAATAAAATCCCAAATGTATTTCATCACCTCCTGTTAAGAACTCACTGAGGAGAGTTTAATAAGCGAGTTAAACAAAGAACAGGGGCCGGAGGGATAGCACAGCGGGTAGGGCATTTGCCTTGCACGCGGCCGACCTGGGTTCAATCCCCGGCACCCCATATGGTCCCCCAAGCACCATTAGGAGTAATTCCTGAGTGCAGAGCCAGGAAAAACCCCTGAGCATCCCTGAGTGTGACCCCAAAAGCAAAAACAAACAAACAAACAAAAACAAAGAATCACAGATCAGATCACAGATCATCCTGTTATTCGTTGATTGCCTCGAGCAGGCCCCAGTAACGTCTCCTTCATCCTTGCCCTGAGATTATATTCAAGTCTCTTTAGGAGAATGAGACCCATCATTGTTACTGGTATTTGGCATATTGGGTACGCCACGGGGAGTTTGCCAGACTCTGCCGTGTGGGCAGGCTACATTCGGTAACCTGCCAGTTTGTCAAAGTAGGAATAAGATGTCATAATAAGATGTCCGGGAGCTGGTTTTTATAGTCTCTGAGTCTTTGCCGCTGATGGGATTACACGGCGCCAGGGGGCCAGTTGGTGGGTGTGACCCCCGTCTACTGGAATTTGGAGGATCTGGGTGGAGGATGCTTGACTCCAATCCGAATAGGCTTGGAGATCTCGGCCCTGGAACCCACGTGGATTTGTCGCTCTGCCGGTACCTTCAGGTGTGCGGAGAGTGGTCTCAGCATGGTGGTGGCTGAATAGATTTGGACAATGAATAAGGAACACTGAAGCAACCAGAGCAGAGAGAATCAGGGAGTCCTCACCATGCAAATGCTCAAATATAGGTGGAGGGATCTGAAGAAAAGGAGAGAGTGTGACCTGAGAGAGAGAAGTGCAGACTCTCGGGGTACCAGGGAGAAGCTTTCATAGTAATGATTGCCACTTCACTTCTTAGTTTTACATGTAATCCCCAGCACTCTCACTGGCTAAGTAAAATGAAGTCTGGTAGAAGGAAGTTGGTTTCGTAGAGGTCTTCAGGTCAGAAAGACAAGGTATTAAAATAATGGGACTGGTCTTGATAAAAAAAAAAGTGAAAATAAAGCTAAGAAGTGTTTCTGCATTCTTTATTTCCCATTAGCTTCAGGTCATCTGCTTGGTGTTTAATCAAGGTGTTTAGTCACATTTGTTGTCTAGGTAATTAAATTACCAGCTACAACCTGTTATCATGTTTTATTTTTTAATTTTCTTTAGCCTCATACCATTAGGACCATTGTTTTCTCTCTTAACTCTACTCACATCATTTTTGTGTATATTTGTCCTTGTGTATATTTGTACATGGTGGTGGCTGGTCCTGGAGGTCTTCGGCTGCCGGAGCCCCGGTCGGGGCGGGGAGGAAAGCTCGACCCGCTCCCCTCCAAGGGGTCCTGGCGAGGGACACCCAGGCGCGGGGGCAAAAGACTGCACTGTTCTCGTCCGGGATCTGGATTTTATGGTCTCTGAGTCTTGGCCGCTGATGGGATTACACGGCGCCAGGGGGCCAGGTGGTGGGTGTGACCCCCGCCTACTGGAATTTGGAGGATCTGGGTGGAAGATGCTCGACTCCAATTCGAGTAGGCTTGGAGGTCTCGGCCCCGGAACCCGCGTGGCTTTGTGCAGTCTTTTGCCCCCGCGCCTGGGTGTCCCTTGCCGGGACCCCTTGGAGGGGAGCGGGTCGAGCTTTCCTCCCCGCCCCAACCAGGGCTCTGGCAGCCGAAGACCTCCAGGACCAGCCACCACCATGCTGAGACCACTCTCCGCACCCTTGAAGGTACTGGCAGAGGGACAAAGCCACGCGGGTTCCGGGGCCGAGACCTCCGAGCCTACTCGAATTGGAGTCGAGCATCTTCCACCCAGATCCTCCAAATTCCAGTAGGCGGGGGTCACACCCACCACCTGGCCCCCTGGCGCCGTGTAATCCCATCAGCAGCCAAGACTCAGAGACCATAAATTCCAGATCCTGGACATCTTATCAGAACTTTTCTTTATGACATCTTATTATCTCATTCCTACTTTGGACAAACTTGCAGGCTATCGAATGTAGCCTGCCCACAGGGCAGAGTCTGGCAAACTCCCCGTGGCGTACCAAATATGCCAAATACCAGTAACAATGATGGGTCTCATTCTCCTAAAGAGCCGTGAATATAATCTCAGGGCTAGGATGAAAGAGACGTTACTGGGGCCTGCTCGAGGCAATTGACGATTAACAGGATGATGAAATGAAATGAAATGAATATTTGTACATCATCTTGTACTAATTCTTATGGTTCATGAGAAACCAAAGAGTGTATACTTAAAGTTGGTGAGTGTCCATGTGTCCTAAGGCCCCAATAATATCCTGTATGACAAGAACCAAGTATTTAATTAACTTTTTTCTCATTCTGGTCCTGTGTCAGTGTCATTTGGAAACATTGGGAGGGCTTAGGAGAAAAGAGTAAGGAAAAATACCAAATACGTTCATATGGTCTTTCACTATATTACTGTGGGAAAGATAGAAATAATATTGATTAAGAACAGAAGAGTACTTAGAGTCTTAGAAGCATGCACTGTAGCACTGTTGTCCCTTTGTTCATCAATTTGCTTGAGCAGGCACCAGTAGTGTCTCCATTGTGAGACTTGTTGTTACTGTTTTTAGCATATCGAATATGCCAGAGGGAGCTTGCCAGCCTTTGCCGTGCAGGCGGGATACTCTCGGTAGTTTGCCGGGCTCTTCAAGAGGAACAGAGGAATCGAACCTGGGTCGGCTGCATGCAAGGCAAACACCCAACCCACTGTACTATTGCTCCAGCCCATACTTAGAAGTATATTGCTTAGTATATTACTATATTGTTTAGTATATTGCTTCGGATATTAAAGGTAAAGGTAAAAGTCCTCCCGTTGTTCATCGATTTGCTCGAGCGGGCCCAGTAACGTCTCCATAGGAGACTTTGTTGTTACTGTGTTTGGCATATCGAATACGTCACGGGGAGCTTGCCAGGCTCTGCCGTGCGGGCAAGATACTCTTGGTAGCTTGCCGGGCTCTCCGAGAGGGGCGGAGGAATCGAACTCGGGTTGGCCATGTTGGCTGCATGCAAGGCAAACGCCCTCCCACTGTGCTATCGCTCCAGCCCTTTGCATATTACTAAGTCTATTACTTAGAAGTATATTGCTGCTATTACCGGATATTTCACAATGCCACATAATGACAGCCCTGCCCAGTATCAATCATATATTAACTCTCCAATCCTCCCACCTTTCCCTGTGACAGATATTATTTGTATTTTACTTTTTATAATGAATTTTGATAAAATGCCTAGAAAGGCTGTCGGAAATAATTTTTCTTTTTGACCATGGGCTGATAATATTTAGAAGATACTGAGTACTAAGTATGAAGTGACCATGTCATTTTTTTCTGTTTTTTTTTTTAATTTATTTTTTGCAGTTAAAGTAACTCTTGATCCAGATACAGCTCACAATAACCTACTTGTGAACAAGAAAAAGAACAAGGTGACTAGTGGATCACCTCAAGTGAAGCATGAGACTCCTGCTAGGTTTAAAGACTTACCATGTGTCCTGGGATGTGAGACCATCACCTCAGGAAAAAAATTCTTTGTACTATATGATGTAGAAGGACCTGAGTGGGATGTTGGAGTTTGTCGGGAAAATGTGTCAAGAGACAATGACATGAAACGGGATCCTGAGTCTGGATTCTGGGCCATCAGACATACCAAAGGTGGTAGCTTTGTAGCTCTTACACATCCCCTAACTCCTCTTTCTTTGGTGGATGTTTTTAACATAGGGGTTTTTGTGGACTATGAGGACGGATTTGTCTCCTTTTATGATGTGCCAACTAAATCCCACATCTTCACTTTCCCAAAGGCCTCTTTCTCTGAGCCTATCAGGCCTTATTTCAGTATTGGTAAAGATTCTACTCTGTGCACATGAGTACCATAAGTTGAAGAAAAATCGTAAGAAAAAGATTTTTGAGATTTGTAAGAAAAATAGCACAATATCCTTATGCTTGTATCCAGTTTAAAGAAATATGATTCAAATTCTGTGACTGTAGAAATCTTGGTTGTTTTCTTCACTGTTCCCATAACCCAGAAAGATGCTAAGCTTAGTACTTACCTAGTAGATTTTCATTAAATGAGTGATTATAAAGACTCTAAGCAAGTGATAATTTCCTCTAAATCAGAAATGCTTTAGAGGGAAGTTACTTAGTTGCAAAGACCATACACTGTCCTGCTTACCAATCTTCAGTCAATATATTTTTATGAAAATAATCTATAGCCTACCTAAGTTCCCATCACTGATTTCTTCTAAGTTAATAAAATTCTTTCCTTCGAGTGTGAGTGTGCTGAAACAATCCCCATTCAATGTTCCTTGCAGTGTCTTTTGCAAATGTTGGGAGAGTATTGTCAGGACTAAAGTAGTTAATCCCAGATTCTAGGAGAGGTGTATATGTCCACAAGAGTAAATACAAACTTAAGTCAAAAAATAAAAAATATAGAGTTTCTTAGAGAACAGTATTTACTTAAGATCCAAGTATACAGATTGCACACATTTCTGGGATACAAAAAATCAGGTAGTAGGCGACTAATACTCAAGACAGGAGAAATGAGGATCAGGCAGACTAATATATGATTGGAAGCTTGTCACAAGTTTGTGGGAATTGTGGGTATGAGTGGGGATTGTAGGACAGAGAAGAGACCACTGTGACAATAATAGTTGGAGATGATTAGTCTGGATGCCAGAAAGTTCCGATAACCTTTCACTATCTGTATTGCAAACCATAATACCCAAAAGAAAAGTGAGGGAAAGCCAGAGAGAAGGAGAAGGAGGAGGAGGAGAAAGACGAGGAGGAAGAGGAAGAGGAAGAGGAGGAGAAAGAAAAGGAAGAGGAGGAGGAAGAGGAGGAACATAGGAAGAGGAAGAAGAAGAAGAAGAAAAGAAGGAGAAGGAGAAGGTGAAGGAGAGGGAGAGGGAGAGAGAGAGGGAGAGGAAGAGGGAGAGGGAGAAGCAGGGGGAGAAGGAGAAGAAGAAGGAGGAGGTGGAGGAGGAGGAGGAGAAGAAGAGGAGGAGGAGGAGGAGGAGGAGGAGGAGGAGGAGGAGGAGAAGAAGAAGAAGAAGAAGAAGAAGAAGAAGAAGAAGAAGAAGAAGAAGAAGAAGAAGAAGAAGAAGAAGAAGAAGAAGAAGAAGAAGAAGAAGAAGAAGAAGAAAAGAAAAGTGCTTGCTAGAGGCAAGCTGTGTGGAGGGGGTGATGGCAGTATGGCAGTAAGAAAACTGGGGACACTAAAGGTAGAAATGTACACTGATGAAGGGACAGGCATTGGGACATTGTTTGACTGAAACTAATTCATGAAAAATTTTGTAACCATATATCTTAAGGTAATTCAATAAAAATGAGTCAAAGTGTACACGTATACTAAGGATGACTATCACTGTTCCTAAATGAGACAACTTGCTCAAAGTAACTGTACACACTCTGCGTCAAAGTGGAACATTAAAGGAGAACTATTTGTAGTCGTTTTCTAATTTATATAGCCATGTATTCAAGATGTGGGTGGGTGACTCAGTGCCAAGAGTGACCTCCTAGGTCTCCACAGCAGAGCAATGAAAAGAATAAAGAGACAGGGGACCACAGACTGATGTTCAAAATGGCCCATTTAATGCAGAGCTGTGAGCATACTTATAGAACATTTGAGGGAACTTGAGGTAAAGGATTGCACGTAGGTGTGATTGATCAATTACAGAGAGAAAGCGTTTCAGTGAGGCAATTTTGGGGGGGGGGGATTAACTCAAGAAGACACTCTGTCTCCAAGGAGCATCTATATTGCTTTTCCCTTTCATTGTTCATATTAAAAATTAAGTTTATTTAATTTTAATACTTATAGTTATTTAGATAATCATAGTGAGAGATATAGATTCAAAAACCTAGTCCTCTGGGCTCCGAGGGAAAGTCCACTGGGCTTAACAATAAATCCCAAACAAGGTCCATGTGCTGGTTTAGCTTGTCCTTCTCCTTGAGGGTCTTGATTCTAAAGTCATAATGGCTTTCATCAAGACTGTGCCCTTATGTTTTCTAGATTGTTCCATTTTAATGTCACGACAAATTTTCGCTTCCCCTAAGTTGTTCCACGTAATTCAGAGGAACTTCCATTTGTGGGGTGTTAGGTACTATGGTAACCGAATCTGAGTCAAGTAATTATGATGGATACATAGGAGTAGATATTTGAGTCAATCAACTCCCCTATACTACGAGCAGAGCATAATCATATTTCTGTGTCAAAGGGAAGAATAATACTCTAAAGAAAAAATAAAATTTATAGGGGAAATAGAAAAATAAGTAATTCGCTTCACAGCCTACCGAGGTCACGAGTTGCCCCCCACGAGTAGCTCTCTGGCACAGCCATGGCTCCAGAAGCACAAGGACTTAATGCAGAGCCTGGCAACTTGCGGCAGAAAAGTGACTGGACTATGCATTAATCCACAGTAGCATGCCTGCCAGGGAGGGAAGGGGTGTCGTCTCCTTAATCCTTCTTCCCCCTGGGCAGCAAGATGGCAGCCTCCTTGGAGCTTTTTGTAAAGCCAGGTATGAGCCAGCGGTGACGGGGCAGCTGAAACCTCATGGGAAGGGGGGGGGGCATTCCCAGCTCATCCTTCATGCCCTACCGAGGTCACGAGTTGCCCCCCAATAGCGGGTCTTTGGCAAAGCTATGGCTCCAGAGCCACAGAAAGCAATCTTGTAATTATCTGGCTCTTGCCAGAAATACCTCCAGGCTTCGTTGATTGCCTCGAGCAGGCCCCAGTAACGTCTCCTTCATCCTAGCCCTGAGATTATATTCAAGGCTCTTTAGGAGAATGAGACCCATCATTGTTACTGGTATTTGGTATATTGGGTATGACACAGGGAGTTTGCCAGACTCTGCCGTGTGGGCAGGTTACATTCGGTAGCCTGCCAGTTTGTCAAAGTGGGAATGAGATGTCATAATAAGATGTCATGCGGCCGCAAATGCGGCCACGCGGTCCGGGGATCTGGTTTTTATAGTCTCTGAGTCTTGGCTGCTGATGGGATTACATGGTGCCAGGGGGCCAGTTGGTGGGTATGACCCCCGCCTACTGGAATTTGGAGGATCTGGGTGGAGGATGCTTGACTCCAATTCAAGTAGGCTTGGAGATCTCGGCCCCGGAACCCACATGGCTTTGTCCCTCTGCCGGTACTTTCAGGTGTGTGAAGAGTGGTCTCAGCATGGTGGTGTCTGGTCCTGGAGGTCTTCGGCTGCCGGAGCCCTGGTCGGGGCGGGGAGGAAAGCTCAACCCGCTCCCCTCCAACAGGCCCCGGTGAGGAACAGCCAGGTGCTGGGGCAGACTGCAGTGTTTTCATCCGGGACTGGATTTTATAGTCTCTGAGTCTTAGCCGTTGATGGGATTACATGGCGCCAGGGGGCCAGGTGGTGGGTGTGACCCCCGCCTACTGGAATTTGGAGGATCTGGGTGGAGGATGCTTGACTCCAATTCGAGTAGGCTTGGAGATCTTGGCCCCGGAACCCACGTGGCTTTGTCCCTCTGCCGGTACCTTCAGGTGTGCGGAGAGTGGTCTCAGCATGGTGGTGGCTGGTCCTGGAGGTCTTCGGCTGCTGGAGCCCTGGTCAGGGCGAGGAGGAAAGCTCAATCCGCTCCCTCCAAGGGGCCCCGGTGAGGAATAGCCAGGCGCAGGGGCAGAAGACTCCACTGTTCTCCCTCCGGGATCTGGTTTTTGTAGTCTCGAACCTCCAGGCTTAATAAAGAAAATATCAGAAATTCAAAATCGCGTGGCTGCAATAGCAGCTACGCAACATCATATGGTTCTCATAACTAACTGCAGAAAACAGATTTTTTCACAATGCCTTTTCATCAGTTCTGATTGTTGAGTGTAAACTCTAAGCAATAATGGTGCATCTTTTGTCAAAGTAATGAATGTGATCAAAGTAGATTTGAGTATTAAGTAGAGTTCATCTGCAACACAGGCATAGGGAGGGTTGGAAGGGGGGGTATATTGGGGTTCTTGGTGGTGAAAAATAAGTACTTGTGAAGAAAAATGTGTTTGATCATTGCATGACTGAGACCTAAACCTGAAAGCTTTGTTACTTTTCCCAAAGTGATTCAATAAATAGATATATATGTAAAAAATAAAGAGCTGACATCCAAAATTAAAAAAAAAATAGAAAAGGAAAGTAAGTAATTCACTTCCAATACAAAGTCCAGAATCACCACAAGTTTGTGCTTAGTTATTAACACAAAGGAAATATTAAAAAGAACTCAGGCACTAGGGGTGTCATAAGAGCACTGTCTACTTATCTGGAGGAGGAAATGTGGCAATTCATTGATGAAGCCTAAAACACTGAGGGTTAAAATCCAACAGTTATATAAATTGGGTGAATTAATAAGGTTCATGTATAGGGATGCAGAATATGTTTTCTTTTGGTGCGGGTTGGGGTAGGCTTGGACACACAAGCAGCTGTGCTTCTGGTTTTCCCTCAGGAATCAACCTGTCATTGATTGGGTGCACATATGTGGTGGGGCTGTGCTCCACATGTTGCTGGACTGAGTAAATGGCAGTCTGCTAACCTGCTGTACCCGGTCTTCAACCCTCAATGGAGCTTTGGCCTCAAGAATCACATTGGCTCACCTGGAGAACTTCCTGTCTCAAATGGAAGTGTAATCTGAGCATTTTTTCCTCAGCCAAGATGTTGGGAATCCATCAAGGATACCGACCTTCTTTATCTCTTCCTAGCTTACTCTGTCAACTCAAAGAAAGCTCTTTTGCACTTGATATAAAAGAAAAAACTGGAATTATTGTAGAATTTTCAGGCCTAGCTGAAGGATCAAAGAGAAAGGTTCTATCCTGAAACCCTTTTAAATGTTTTTATCTCTACCCCTTACCCAATTTTTATTATTTGTCTGCCCCTTGTGTTGGAAAGTTTTAAAATTATTACCTAAATGAAGTAGACGTGCCATTGCCCCTCTTTTTCGCCCTCCACCTTCCCCATAACAGTAGGATATTCAGTAGGGGAGAGAAACAGGTATTCGAGAGAAGACTTGGATTTCTCTAGAGGGGAGAGAACTCAGAGGAACCTGTAAAGTAAAAGAAAGGAATTGCACATTCCAAGAAGGGCAGCCGTCTCACTTGCCTTTGCTTAGTGGATGCTCCTACTGAATCCTGGAGTGAAGAGGGGACTAGGATACAAATGATGAACTTTTGTACCTAGCTGAGAAATTCAAGGTAAGCTCAACTATTGGGGAACATCACACAAACACATGAAATGCCAAACACCAGAGGCAGTTCTGCACACCATATGACTAGAACCCAGGATTTTGTCATAATCTTTAGAACATTCATTTATGTAAAGCATTTGCTCTATAGTAGAACAACACGATGCCTTGGAGAAAGTTTCACAGAGCCCTTTTTTTGCCAGTACTAAAGAATTAAAGAGCATATTTATATGCTCACACAGGAGCATATACATTATATTGGGTTTATAGAACATGATAAAATTGATTTCTATTGAGAAAATAGGAAATTGGTTCACCTTAAAATATTCTTCATGAAGAAGGGAGAAATTTTATTTTGAAATGTGACATAAAGACTTTTCCTGTGAGCCTGGAGAGATAGTAGAGCTAAGAAGATGGTTGTCTAGTGCATGTACAACCCAGATTCTATCCCTGACACCCCATAATGTACCCTGAGCACCAACTGATGTGATCCTCGAGTAGTCAGGTGTGGCCCAAAACCAAATAGAAAAAATATACTGCATGATATTGAAACATTCAAAACTGAATCTCTGTTTCAGTTTAACGGGAAGTCAAGTGATCAAGTGATTCCATTTATGTTCGTCAACCACTTCCATTTTTCTTGGAGTTGTCTTCCCAGAATTCAGCCATGGTCTGGGTGTCACTCTGCCAATAATGGGCACAGAAGTCTGATTCAACAGGAAGACCCATC